TGCCAATAGAAGTATGCGAAGGTACAAAGAGATGCAGATGACAGGATTATGCCAAGCAGTTGCCTTTGATTTCTGATGTTTCTTGATTCATTGGACTGTTTTGTCATGTCTATCTCCATTCATCTGTACTGTATATTATGTTGCTATTGACAAATATGATTTAAAACACGATCCCTGCTTTTGTGTTCATGTTTCTTGGAATGTGTTTCTAGGTTCCAAAAAGCATTGAAATTGGTTCTCCAATGACTCCTTTCAAGAAATCGTTCCTACATATAGGACTAGATCTCTCAGTGGTGATTTTTATGGACTTGGATGTTTAGTTTACTGCACATATAAGTTCTCTGTCTTATGTTATTTCTCCAGTCACAGATCTTCGTAATAACTTTGTGAACTCTTCTCACTCCCTATACTTTACCAAAAGATCACTTCTTCAAAGGTCATCTGAGATGGAATAATCAAATTAATGCATTTTAAGTTGCTAATACATTTAAAGATCTCATGCAAAAATCACAAGATTTAACTGAAAAGTAAATTGCAATGTGTACACACAGAGATTTAAAATCAGGTGCCAAAGACATAGGCATGCACAGAGAATCTCTGTGTTCTCATGCCTCAGGAGATTCACCAGTGTAAGGAAAATATAAGAAAAGATACCCCAGGGTAGGTGTGTGAATTTGTTGCTTTATCTAAATTCATCCTGTCAACTCAAGTTATTACTGTATCTCTGCTGAAAAAAGAAATTCAAGAAGTATTAAAATTAAACATGGGCTGGTGATCAAAGTCATGGAAAAAACCTTGGTGTCCATCAACAATTTGGACAATTTGGATAAAGAAAATATTATATATATATACACACCAAGGAATACTATGCAAACATAAAGAAGAATGCAATCATGTGTTTTGCAGCAAAGTGAACTAACCTGGAAGCAAAGTCTACTACCACATGTTTTCTCTCATAAGTGGGAGCTAAACAATGGGTGCACATGGACATAAAGATGGAAACAGTAGACATTGGAGAATTCAAAAGGGTGGAGGGTGAGAGAGGGTGAGAGTTGAAAAAGTATCTACTGGGTATAATGTTCACTATTTGGGCAATGGCACACTAGAAACCCCAAACCCATTACTGCACGATATAACCATGTAACAAACCTGCCCATGTACCCTCTGAATCTAAAATAAAATAAAAAGTTTAAGCTCATGCACACACACACACACACACACACACACAGAGTATGGGTTGGTAATCAAAAGAACTAGGTTCTAATTCTGACTTTACCACTAGCTAGCTGAGTGACTTCAGGAAAGTCACTTCATCTCTCTGGTTCTCCTTTAGACCAAGTGATCTATCCAAGTCATTTCTTTTTTTCTTTTTAATTTTTATTTTAAAGATGTGGGGTACAATTTAGGATTAGGGAGATAAGTGGTCATCATACAGATAAACTTTGGGCCTCCCTTTGGTCCCCACTTTGCCTGATTTGAGATCAGGTACCCTTATTGATGTTATGTGCCTCCCCCTCCCTGGCAGTGTTCTGCTACTGCCAATCCCCATCTTATAGTATTATAGTATTATGATTAATGTTCAGGGTCCACTTACGAGTGAGAACATGTGGTACTCAGTTCTTTGTTTCTGTGATGGATCACTGAGTATTATAGACTCTACATTCATCCAAGTTGCTATGAAGTTCATAATTTTGTACTTTTTTTTTTTGAGTTGGAGTCTCACTCTGTTGCCCAGGCTGGAGTGCAATGGCACGCTCCCAGCCACCGCAGCCTTGACCTACTGGGCTCAGGCGATCCTTTTGTCTCAGTCTTCCAAGTAGCTGGAACTACAGACGCACACCACCATGCCCAGCTAGTTTTTGTGATTTTTTGTAGAGATGAGGTCTCACCATGTTGCCCAGGCTGGTCTCTAACCCATGGGCTCAGGCGTCATCTCGCCTCGGCCTCCCAAAGTGCTGGGAGTATAGGCTTGAGCCACCTTGCCCGGCCAATTTTGTTCTTCTTTATGGCCACGTCATATTCCATCATGGATATGCATCACATCTTTTTCATCCAGTCTAATTTTGATGGGCAGCACAGTTGGTTCCATGTTTTAGAAAACCTCAGGAGACACCCTTTCGGCAACCAATTCATTCATCAAAATGCCATAAGAGATAAGATAAGATAAGTAGGACCTCATCAAACCGAAAAGCTTCTGGAAAGTAAAAGAAACCATCAAGAGAGTGGGGAGACAACATTACAGAATGGGAAAAAATATTTGCCAACTGTATATCTGACAAAGACCTAGCATTCAGGATCTACAAAGAACTCAAATGTGCCAAAAGGAAAAAAACAAACAGCCCCGTTAAAAAGTGGGTAAAAGATATGAGCAGACACTTCTCAAAAGAAGACATATGAGCAGCCAACAGATACATGAAAAAATGCTCAGCCTCATTAATCATCAAAGAAATGCAAATTAAAACCACACTGATATACTACCTAACTCCAATCAGGATGGCTATCATCAACTCAAAAAACAACAGGTACTGGAAAGGATATAGGGAAAAGGGAATTCTTCTACACTGTTGGTGGGAGTGTAAACTCATACAACCTCTGTGGAAAACAGTGTGGCAATTCCTAAAAGATCTAAAAATCAACCTTCCATATGACCCAGCAATCCTCCTTCTGGGAATATACCCAGAGGAACTCAAACCATCATATGAAAAAGATAACTGCATAAACATGCTTAGCATTATCCAAGTCATTTCTTTTTTTTGAGTTGAAGTCTCACTCTGCTGCCCTGGCTGGAGTGCAGTGGCACACTCATGGCCACCGCTGGGCTCAGGCAATCCTTTCACCTCAGCCTTCCAAGTAGCTGGAACTACAGGTGTGCGCTACCATGCCCGGCTTATTTTGTTTATTTATTTATTTTTTGGTTTCTTGTAGAGACAAGGTCTCAGCAAATTGCCCAGACTAATATCGAACCCCTGAGCTTAGGCAACTCTCTCACCTCAGTCTCCCAAAGTGCTGGGATCACAGGCTTGAGCCACCCTGCCTGGTTTTATCTAAGTCATTTGTAATGTGAACCCTGGGTGATTTGTGTGTAGGGGTTGCTCTGCACAGCCTGTCTGCCTCAGGGTTGAGGACTTTTGTTCCCTACTCCCATTTGGCTCTACCAACGATCTGCTCCAGGAAAATCTCACAGCAAGCACTCAACAGTGAAGTGGGAGCTACATTAAAGCAACATCCTCCAAAGGGTGCAATGTGAGAGAGATCTGAAGGGTGGGGGATTAGTCTGGGCTCCAAACTTGTTGTGTCCTCACTGAAAGAATCTCCCAGAACTCCCCGGCTAAACCTGTGGTCATATTCCTCTTCCGATTCCTCTTCTGTATTCATTTACTGCAACTTCTCCTTCCAAGTCAATTTTTTACCTCCAGATTGACATCCAAGTTGAAATCTGCCAATGGGGACAGAGAAGGGGTCATACAGGAAATGAAGCAGACATATCAAAATCCATTCCAACTTTAAAAGGCACACACTAACAAACACGAAGTTTCCGCATGCCTCTCTACCAATATAAAACAGCATTCTTGCAGAAGCACAATTCTTTTCCATCATCAAGATCTTCTATTAACAATTCTATTAACAACATCTTTCCCGGTAGGCACATTTCTTTCTCTGTTGTCTTATGTCAAAAGTACATAATACAGCACAGTAATCCAACTTTGGGCTGGCTTCTCTGGAAATTCCCAGCGTTTCTCTCCTGGCCTTCCTTTTGTTTCTAAGAGCAGTTGTGGATTGGTAGAGACCCAAAATGCGAGTTGAAATTTGCATTGCATCACTTGTCACATTAGCTCCAAAGGAAGCAGCAGAGGTAACCAGAAATGAGGAAAAGAAAATTTCTGATAAACAACTTTGATGATTATCTGGAAGCCCAACTGAATCACAGACACCACTAGAGTTTGGAAATGCATTTTGATTTGCAGAATTAGAGGTAACTGCCTCCCACGTTTATGATAGCGTCAATTTAATTCAAAATTTGAGTGTGGTTTCGCAGGCTGAGCATTCATTCCATTCTGTGGTAGTGCCGGAGAGCATGCATTTATTTATCAGGCTCACATGGAGCACATCTGAATTTGGAACAAAAAAATGATTTAAAAAATAACACCCTGAATGCTCTAGATACAGATACTATCACAGATGTTGATAATATTTGGGGGTGAAATGAATGAATTTACCTTTTCACAGACTCAATATTGATTAATGAAAACTTATAACTGATGAATTCAGCCCTGTTATCAAGCAGTCTGAGCCTTTTCCAACATAGAATAGGAAGTTAGAATGTATGCCTCTCTCATTGAACTTGCATTGAATAAAGATTGTTTAACTCATGCACCCCTCACTGGTCCTCTCTCTTTAATTTGGAAATAGAAAAGTTCACAATTAATTTCAGATTCTGAGATCAGAGACAAAGGCAGAGCAGTGAGATTCTGAGAGAGCCTGAAATCTTTCCTGCACCCATGACTGACCCTGGTTTCTACCCTTTTATCATGGGAGTACTTCCTGTCGTCATTTAAAACACTTGAGCTGCTTTTTAAGAGACTTAGTGGTCTTGTCTCTGCAGACTCACGACTCCTTTATCTGCTCTTGGGTGGAATAAGCAGAAGTTTAAAACCTAGATGTTCCTGACTACCCAATCTCCTGGTTCTTCATTCTTTTTCAGACAGAAAGGTGGTAGGACTCTTTGTCTCTAGTAAAGGGGTATTTTCAGATGCCAAGGTGTTGATACAGACAACTGGTCAGAGAGGTTAGGAGGGAGGGAGGGGGATCCAGGCCCGCCCCCCTAATTGCCTGCTGCTTTCCTGGCAGGACTGCATTGGGACACCTCCCTTCCTCTCCACTTCCTTTTCCTCCTCCCATTCGCTGTCTCTTTCCCGACCCCCCAGTTTGGCCCTTCATAGTAAGAGGTCAGGATGTTTTCACACTTGGGAAATCTCATTCAAGAATTTTTGTCAATGGACAAGTCATAAGAAGCCCTTCCATTTCAGGGCTCGTTGACGTCACCAAGAGGCGATAAATATCTGTTGATATAATTGGATGTGAGATTCAGTGTTGAGATAGCAAAATTCTGCCCCTCGCTCCTTGGCAGGGCCCTATGATTTATGCAGGAGCAGAGGCAGCACGCAATCGAGCTGTCAAGAGAGCGTCAGCTTATTAGGCAAATGCTGCGTGCTTTCTGAAGGGGGTCGACGCTATAAAACCCACTCCAGGCTCTGGTGTGGAGAAAGTCGGAGCCCAAGTCCACTGAGAGACTGAGGGGAGAGAGGAGAGAGAAAGAAAAAGAGAGTGGGAACAGAAAGGAGAGGGGAAGAAAACCTCCAGAAAAAGCCCCGGAGACGTCCCTCTGCAGAGAGGCGGCAGCGCTCGGCTCACCTGCGCAGAGCCCGGTAAGGTAGGGAGCGCCTAGACGGGACCGCGCCACCAACTTTGCGCTGCCTGAGCCGCCTCGGAGTGCGCCGCCGAGCCGGCGGCCCCTGTGCCGGCTAGTGTGCACGTGTGTGTGTGTGTGTGTGTGTGTGTGTGTGTGTGTGTGTGTGTGTGTGTGTGTGCGCGCGCGTGTGTGTTCGCTGACTGTGTTAAGATTCCACCAGTAGCTGCGATGTGGCAAAAGCAGACTTAGACGGCTGTTCCTCACGACCCGAACTGCCAGCTACTCCTCGCTGACTGTATAAAGGACCCCCCGCCCCTGGCCCAATCTATCCCGACCCCCGAGAGCAGGCAGCAGAGGCAGGGTACAGAGAGAGGAGGGGGAGGCATTCGTTCTCAGTTTGGAAGAAAACGCTGAAATATCTGGAAGGGAGGTGGTCAGCGTGGCTGAGAACTTAAATTTGTGGCTCTTGTCTAGGCTCGGGGAAGTCTGCTCTAGGGTCGTGAAGAGGAGGACTCAGGGACCATCCCTTAGGGGTCTCCAAAGAAGCGTCCCGCCTGCCCGGCGAGGGCACGAGCTTTGGTGCCGAGCCCTCGCAGGGGTCCCTTTCCCGCTCGCCGGGCGCTTCAGCACCGCGGACAGCGCCCGCCCGATCCCCCGCGGCCAGAGCCGGCCAGGCGCGCCAGCGGGTGTCCCGGAGGAAGACCCCCGAGTGCACCTCCCAGCTGAGCTCAGCTCTGACCAACTCTCTCTCTCTCTCTCCCTCTCCCTCGTTCCGCCCTCTGCCCACCTCTGTGCCGCAGCCAGCGCCCCTAACATGCGGCTGCCGCTGCTCGTGTCCGCGGGCGTCCTGCTGGTGGCCCTCCTGCCCTGCTCGCCGTGCGGGGCCCTCCTGAGCCGGGGGCCGGTCCCGGGCGCCCGGCAGGCCCCGCCATCCCCCCGGCCCCTGGATTTCTTCCAGCCGCCGCCGCAGTCCGGGCAGCCCCGGCAGCCGCAGCCTCGGCCCGTCCTGCTCCGCATGGGAGAGGAGTACTTCCTCCGCCTGGGGAACCTCAACAAGGGCCCCGCCGCCGCCCCCGCGCCCGCGCCCGCCTCCTCGCTGCTCGCGGGCGGCAGCGGCAGCCGCCCCTCGCCGGACCCGGCGGCCGCCAACTTTTTCCGCGTGTTGCTGCCGCAGCTGCTGCCGCCTCGGCGCCCGCTCGACAGCCCCGCGGGTCTCGCGGAGCGCGGCGCCGAGAGCGCCCTCGGCGGCCACCAGGAGGCACCGGAGAGGGAGAGGCGGTCCGAGGAGCCTCCCATCTCCCTGGATCTCACCTTCCACCTTCTCCGGGAAGTCTTGGAAATGGCCAGGGCCGAGCAGTTGGCGCAGCAAGCTCACAGCAACAGGAAACTGATGGAGATTATTGGGAAATGAAATGGTGCGTTTGGCCAAAAAGATTCTGCGTTTAGCACACACACACGTTTGAAAAAAATTACAGTATTCTGTACCATAGCGCTGCTCTGATACCATTTGTTTATTTTTATATAGCTTGAAGCATAGAGGACGTACAGGGAGAGAGCCTATACCTCTTAACCAGCATGCACAAAGTGAATTCGCGTGCAGTAACAACGCAATGTTGTTCGTATTGTCTACTTTTAGTTCCCATTTCCAGATGTCTGTAGTGGTGTTTTAAAGAGAATGTAGACGTGGGAGGAAACGTTTCGAAGATGCAGACATAAGTCATCCGAACTGTTTTTGTTGTGGTTTGAGCCAAAGAGAATGCCATTCTCTGGGGTGGGTACGATGGAATCTGTAAGTTCTCCGAATTAACTTTTCTTGTGAACGTTTCAGTAATAAAACATCTTTCCAATCCTTGGTCAGTTTGTTTGTGTAAGAGAATGCTAAATATTTATATTTTTAATAAAAGCTGCAAAGGTAATCATGACTTTTTCCTCTTCAATGTTCATACACTGAAAATACTCTCAGCTCTTAACTGCCTCCAAATTGTCTCCAGCACAAGAAAAACAAAACAAAACAAAACAAAACTTCCTGCATTTTATTTTCTACTAAAAATACAAATTTATGCCAGTGGCTCCCACAGACCCTGCAATCTCCCTGGGCTCATCTCAGTACCTCAGATGACTCGTCTGAGGTTGAATCAAATAATTTGGGAAGTTACTTCCAGCTCTAGAATTTGACAGTTCTGTAAAGAAAAGATCAATTCATGGTGGAAATACCATTTAACCCTGATCGGTTATAAGATGTGAAATAATTGGGGAGAGTGGGGAAGGATGAAAGGAACAGAGAAGCGTTGAGGCAGGTGTTCCTCCAAACCATACAGCCAAAGTACTGCTTTTCTTTCTTTCTTTTTTCTTTATCAAACTACTATGTTGGTACTATAAAATAATTTTTTTCTAAGTTATTTTCTAAAGACTACTTCTAATAGGAGAAGCTTGATAACATCTTCCTTGGGACAACAAAATTTAGTTATTATAAAATGGCACTCAGAAAAAATTTTCCTTCAAAGAACATTGTGACTTCAGTAATTATACAAATACCCTCCACATTTATGTCTATGCCAATCTTAATCATTTTAATTCTTAGGAATATGAACTGGTTATTTTTTCACTTCTAAAACTGAACAGCACATCTAATTACTTTTGCAATGCATTTGCCTTTGGTGGTTTAGCTATGGCTTTAAAAATTCAATAAAATGTTTAATGTTTTAAAATTAATTTGTATGCAGATTCTTCTTCCCTTGGGAGCCTTGAAATATACTCAACTAGTGGATTAATAAGAAAATACAAAACACTGAATAAATAATTGTAAGACTAACTTTTTAAAAACAGCATTTATTTAAGATTCATACCAGGCAAAATTACACTTATGTTCTAAGGGAAGCATTATGGTGGGACAAATAAAGCATGATTTAAATATAAATATTGACTTTTAATGTGTGTATATATATTTAAATACATGCAGTTATTCTACAATTTACCACATTGGTGCCACAGTAGATACATGAGAAAGTGGACAGTTCTTGCTGGAAGGTCTTTATCAGTTAAAGTGCCTGATATATGACGAGCTGAAACTAAGATTAGAAAAATGCTTCCAGAGATGTCCTAGGCCTTCTGGACTATGAATGTGTCACCAAATTTAAAGAACACTTCTGGATATATATCCAGGGACTTCTATTAGGTAAAAGAGAAAAACTCGGTGAAACATTTCATAACTTTGGTCAATGATTTACCTTTCGTGCATATAGTGATAAATCAGTCACTTCTGAATTGTCTCTGAATTTCACTGACCACCTGCATTGGTTTTTTGTTGTTGTTGTTGTTTTAGTTTTGGTTTTTTTTGAGTTAGAGTCTCACTCTGTCACCCAGACTGGAGTGCAGTGGCTGCTTCCAGCCACTGCAGCCTCGACCTGCTGGGCTCCGGCGATCCTTCCGCCTCAGCCTTCCCAGTAGCCGGAATTACAGGCAGGCGCTACCATGCCCGGCTGATTTTTTTATTTATTGTAGAGATGAGGTCTCACTGCCTCGGCGGGTCTCGAACCCGCGGGCTCAGGCAATCCACTCACCTCAGCCTCCCAAAGGCGCGGGATTACAGGCTGAGCCACCGAGAGGAAAGAAAATAGGAGATACTGTGATATAGGAACAAAGAGTCATTATCTATTAGGATGAGAGTGTAGTGCCCACTTTTTTTAACACTTGCCACTTGTCATGGACGCACACACATACTATACCTACACACCCCACATAATGTTTCCCACACAATAAAAAAAACTTGCACAAAGTCCAGTTTCTTTTCTTTTTTTCCAGTGCTATGTGTTAGATAAGTCATCTGGAATTAATATTTGGGATTTTTATTTTTGGCAGAAATTCTGTTCGGAGGTCCCTTTCATCATCTGCATCATATTAATTTCACCTAGGCTCCCTGCTGCCTATGCGCACCTCAGCCAGGCAGACAGAGAGGTAGCAGTTGGAATGAACATCATTCATTTAGGGAGTTCAACCAGGAAAAGGAGAAGACATGGCGAGCTGGCTCAGAATCAGCTCCACTCCCACTCCCTGAAGCTGGAGCCTGTCCCTGGAGAGGAGGAGCCTCAAATCCAATCTGCAACAGAAGAAAATGTGAATCAGAAAAAGAAGAGGCTAGTCCCTTTTGGATTGGTTCAGTCATTTTTCTGGATGAAAGAAAGGATTATAATAATAATAATAGTTATTATTATTATTAGAGATGATGATTATTATTATTATTAGAGATGAAAAGCAAGCTCAGGTTATCTTGGCCATGGCCAAAAGCCATGAAAGTAATTCACACTTGTGATATAGAAAGGGACAACAGAATGCATGCAGTGGAGGGAAGTTCTTGGGAAAAAAGAGTCCAGGCTATTCTAGTTTTTTTTTTTTTTTTTGTCCATGTGTATATGATTAACTGAGTTGTCAGTCTTATTCCAATAGGAATTTGGGTTTAGAAAAGCCTGCATGATAAAAAAATAAATTCTAATTTAAATGACATTGCTATACTACATGACATTGCAGGGCATATTAATGTAATCCCTCCACTACTAAAGTAAGAAGTTTCTACCACAGATATATAATACTAAATATATATATGCATATATATCTAGTATGTGCATATAAGTTTATCTTCTTAGTATAGTTTTTGCAAAACTGTAGGTTTAGTTTTGAACAAATCATAAAGGGAAATTTTTTCCCTAGGTAATAAAATATGTATTTTTTTCTTATTTTGTTTCCTGGTCAATAAAATCTAATAAGAATACCTATATGAAATAATATCTAATATAATATTTTTTAAAAGATAACTGTCTTATTTTAAAGAGAGCTTGACAGGCACAGGTTGTGATTTTTGAACTCATTGATTAACCTAATGTCATAAATGAAATCTATTTATGCTGTTTTGAATTTTAAAAATAATAACTTAATGAAATGAGGGACAATTATAAGGAAGTCTTTCTGAAATGCAATTTAATTTTATGAACTCAAACTGTTTACATTTAAAGCTACCTTGACAAACACAGTTCTTCCTAGGAGAACTATGGATAAACAAATACAGTCTGATGACGTCACTGGTAAGACTATCCCATCAGATTAGAATGCCACTGATTTCAAAGCAATGAGGTAGACACATGCATTCAGCTCAGAAGCCCTGGGTGATTTTATGAAGCTGCTATATGAATGGACAATACCTGGTACAAGCAAAGCAGAACTTTGGTAAATATATTGTTTTATGGTCACTCTAAATAGTTTTGAGAACAAAATAAGTTCTTGGCCTGCACTTTCCCAGATTTTACCCTAAACATATGTTTAGAAATGATGTTTTAAGAGCAATAAAATAATACCAAGTCCTATGACTTTGGGATTATCTTTTGGCACTGCCATGGTTCTTTAAAAAGAACCATGAAATCATATTAGCCACAGTAGAAGAAAACAGAAGTGTGTAGTTTTCTATGAAAGAATAGTTGAGACATCAAGTGAAAATGGACTTTTAAAAAAGGGATTATGCTAGATTCTGTGGTAATGGGTTAGATAAGTCAATGTCCTTGAAATTGAAGTGGAATAAACACCATCCTGACAGAATCCTGTGCCAAGCTGTACACATCAAACTCTTCTCTTCTCTACCATAGTCACCTTAACCCTCACTAATCCTAAAAGAAAAAAAGCACAAGTGGTCTGGGTATAGCACTGATGTGTTAAAGACTTTTTTTAAAAAACAATTCAATATGAGTAAATAGTGAATTCTGCCTGGACAAATAGATCAATAGGGTCTATTTTGCAGGCTCTTTTACTTGAAGCAGTTTCTAATCTAGAGAAAAGTTCCATGACAGCTCTTCTCAAATATCTAAAGGATGAAACAAGTGGAGTAAGATATTTTCTGCAGAAGGATATAATTTTTGGGAAACTGCTGGTGGCTAACAAGCCACTACGACTGCTTTTGGAATGTGTATACATTTTTGTGCTTTTCTGTCCCAGAGATTAAAGTCTATCTTCCATTTCAAATGTTTTAGTTGTTAATACCTGATAGTCCCCAAGATTTGGGATTAAATAGTTTGGGTCTTCTTCTCTTACACCTCCATTTTTCGAGGCAGTTGTTAGGTTTTTCTCCAAACAATATAAACCCATATCATCTTTTAGAGAAGAAAATCCAGTGCTAGAGTGGGAGGTCAAGAGCAAAGATGATCCTGAGTACTTTTGGATGATCACCCCATCTCCTTGGTCTTATTTATATTAATGAAGGATCCACCAATGATCACAGCAAGAAAGTTCTATGCAAAAAGGTTTAGCCTAGTTTTAAGTCATAGATCAACCACTTATTAGTGGTATAACTTGGACAAGTTGCTTAACCTCTCTGAGCCATAGTTTTCTCTTCTGAAAAACAGAGATGAGGATCTACCCCACAAGGTTGTCATAAGGACTGAATAAATAAAGTAATGGACATAAAGCACTTTACATATGCCTCATTAATAGTAGGTCCCTCTCTCCCTCCTTCCCTTCCTTCCTTCCTCCTTTTCCTTTCATCCTTTTATTCCCTCTCTCCCTCCCTCTTTCCTTCCCTCTCTTCTTTCTTACAACAGTGAAAAGTCTCCTCTGTCACACAGAATCACCTGGGGACTGTTTGTAGCCAACTGTACACAACAGCACTGACTCCCAGTTAAGAAATACAATAGTATCTAAAATTGGACATCATTTATGTGATTTAATCCCTTGTATTATAACCATGGTCATCCATGACACTGACCAGTGTCTCTCCAAGAGACCCAACTATACATATGGTTACCTCATAAAGGAAGAGTGAATTAAAGATTTAGAAACCACCTTTTTGTAATCACAGCTAACCAAATCAAAAGTCCATCTTTTTTTCCTATAGTCTTCCCTAATATGTGTTCCCTCCAATAGTTTTCTAAATGCTAACTCTCCTCCATTACAGGAAGTACCGTTTCTTGGGAATAGTGATGTCCTACAAAACAGAATGAAGGACATAGAATTACAAGCACTGATCTCCATCTGCTTGGGGGGCTTGTCCTGCATTCTAGTTTAGTCTGACATGTATAAAAATGTGAACAAAGGATTGTTAGTCTTATATGACAGTCACACATCTGTTTAAGAACAGGGATATGTTCTGAAAAATGTATCACTGGACAATTTCATCATTGTACAAACACATTAGAGTGCACTTTCACAACCTAGATGGTATAGCCTACTACACACCTAGGCCATGTGATGTAGCCTGTTACTCCTAGGCTACAAACCTGTACAGCATGTTACTGCATGGAATGCTTTAGGCAATTGTAATGCAGTTGAGCACAACTCCATTATAATCTTATGGAAATATTATAATCTTGCATTGAACACTCAGGTCCATTGATAACCGAAATGTTACATGGCGCACGACTGCATTTCTAAATTTCACACATTTTCCTTAGGTAATGCAACAAACAAACAACCATCATTTAACACAGTGCTCTATCACTATGCAGCTACAAATAATTTGACAAATGACTTTTAGTCATAAAAAGAAACCAGGAAATAGAATAGAGAGGCACCATATTTCCTCTGTTTCAACAGTGAGATCCAATTCAATCAAGCTCCACAAAAGATGAGCAGAAGGGAGCGATATCATTTTGCTTAGTGGAGAAACTTCTTTTCTTGGATGAGCTTGCCCAGGGGCTCTGAGTAGTCACTCAGGAACTCAGACTCACTCAGAAACACCAAATCTTTGATTTTCCTTTGACTTTTTTTCCACCTGTTATTATCAAATGTCCTTTGAAAGGAAAAAATTAATATCAGATTATTAAGATACTATGGTGTCGTTTCACTCTACAGAAGAGCAGGGTGAGGCGAGGTGCTGCCACCGAGACCTTTGTGATGTGCAGGCACATCCTTGAAACTTATGTCATCTAGAGTAATTTCTTGTTGCTGGGGATTAAGGGGCATGCATTCTGCCAGAAACTTGTGGACATCTGTTTCTGTGCGCAGGAGAGTTCCAGGTTACAGACAATGTTTGCTTGACATGAACATTGCTCTACCATAAAAATGAAGGAAATTTGGCCACATGCTACAACATGGATGAAATACATGGTATTTTGAAAAAAATGCAAATTAGTTGCAAACATTAAAAAAATCAGGAGCTAGGATGTGATAAAATTGGAGCCCTTGTGCATTGTTGGTGGGAATGTAAAATGGTTCACAGCAGCTGCTCCGGAAAACAGTATGGAGGTTCCTCAAAAAATTAAACAGAGTTACCATGTGATTCAGCAATTCCACATCTCAGTACATACTCAACAGAATTGAAAGAAAAACTTTCCACAGATATTTGTACATCCATGTTTCACAGCAACTTTATTGATGATAGCTATGAGATAGAAGCAACCCAAGCATCCATCTGTGGAAAAATGGATCCAAAATGTGTGGTGTGTACAATGGAACATTGTTTGGCCTTAAAAAAAAAAGAGAGAGGAAGAAAATTCTGACAGGCTATAACATGGACGAGCCTTGAGGACCTTATGCTAAGTGAAATAAGCCAGACACACAAAACAAAACAAGTATGATTCCATTTACACGAGGTATCTGGAGTAGTCGAATTCACAGAAACAGAAAGTAGGACGGTGGTTAGCAGCGACTGGGGAAGGGTGAAATGGGGTGTTGGTGTTTCATGAGCATAGAGTTTCTGTTGTGCAAGATGAGAAAGTTCTAGCAATTGGTTGCACAGCAGAGTAGGGTTGTGCCTTGGACCGGTGATGCCCCCTCCTCCTGTTTGACTTGAGTCATGGCGCCCAGCACTCCCTTTGCCTCCCCTGCTCCAAGGCTGGTCGAGCTGCTGGTTATCACTGTGCTTGTACAGTTGCTATGCTCGGAGCAGAATTAAGAGGAAAGCAAATGATGACTTGTATTTATGCCTCTATCAACATTTTCCTCTTAACTGGCCAGCTTTTTCATTCATGTTACCTTCTTGGCTTCTAAAGGTACACAAGTTGTTGCTCTTAATGGAAGGTTATTTTTTTTAGTATGAAGGTGTCAAAGAAAATAAAGGAAATGCTCACTAGATACTTTGGCTTAATTTTTACGCTAAATATGATGATCTTTTTTAAAGTA